AAATATTAAGAGAGGATAACCATTTTGTTTCTGTTAAGCTTGATGAATGTCCAACATATAAGAGATATACCAAGAATAACGATAGTATTAAGTATGTGTATATATAAACGTATATATTTGCAAACAAATTATATAGACACTTGTTAGTTTAAGATGCTTATTGTTTTGAAATTTCTTTAATCAATCCTTTCATATATAAAATAAGGAAATAATAAATAAAAAAAATTCCTTTCATGTATAAAAAATAAATAATGTCTTTTAAGAAACTAAAATAAAGGTATATATTTGTTGGTTTGCATTCCTACCAAATAAAAAAAAGTATAATAAATAGGGTTAAATGCAAAAAAAAAAAAAAAAAAAAAAAAAAAAAAAAAACCCTGAACTATTGGGGTTTGCAAGAAACCCCCTTACAGTTTACTCCATCAGGTGACCGGAAAAGATAAAAGACAATTTCACCCTTGTTATGAAACGACGTAGTTTTGCACCAACTAGGGAGCCGCCACCACTTCCCATTTCCATGGCGGTCAGTCGCCGGCCATCACCTCCCCAACTCCTACCAACACTTCCACCAACAACACCGTTTGTGCCCGTACGCCACCACACAAACCCACTGCCATCACCACCACCACACCGTCAAAATTTAACCACGCACAAACTCACTACCATCACTCCAAACATACACCACCACCACACCGTCAACCCAATTTAACCACACAAACTCACTGCCATCACCCCACCATCGCCTTCACTTCTCTGATAAACTCAAATAATTCAGTGTGATTTGGGGATTTAATTTTGGAATTTTGTCAAAATGGGTTAGGGTTATACAGTCATGTCCCAAACACCACCTTTCCAAATTGAGAATTGAAAACACCAAATCAGCTTTAAAATCCTTGCTTTGGCTTCACCTCCTACATCCAAGGCGCCACCTACAACAACAGCCGCATCTATAAGCTTTCTCTCACTAATCTCTCTCTAAAAGGCTCCATATCCCCTTACCTCTCCAACTGCACCAATCTCCAGTCCTTCGACCTCTCCTCCAACGATCTCATCGGACCCATCCCACCGGAGCTCCATTACCTCGTCAACCTTGCCCTCCTCAACCTCTTCGCTAACCACCTCTCCGACGACATTCCCCAACAGCTCACCTTCTGTGCCTACCTCAATGTCATCAATCTCCACAACAATTTGCTCGTGAGGTCAAATCCCCTAGTTGGGCCTCCTCGTCTACCTCTTTGTCTTCGACGTCTCCAATAATAGACTCTTCGGTCTGATTCCAGCTTCGTTGGGGAATCAGAGTAGGAATTTGCCGAGGTTCAATGCTAGCTCTTAGAGGGGAATAAAGATTTCTACGTGTAACGACCCTAAACTGATACCAATTTAAAAAAAAATTAAAAAAATAAAAAATAAAAAATTGGCATGACCTCCACTAAAAAGGGGTTCTACAACAACCTGCTTAAATGCAAAAAAAGTAATAGCCTCTCTTGGGCCTTCAAGACTTATCTAACCTGTCCCAACACACAATACAAATATTATATTTCAAAATCCCTTTCATCCATTCATTATGTCTCAACATAGATCATCTCATGGTGGAACAACTACATGCTATTTAATCCATATATCATAATTACAGTCCCAAAAATATAATTAAGATCAAAAGTCCATGTCTTACAACGTTTTGACAGCTTATATTAAAGTTACAGCTCATGAATATAATTACCATAATAAGAGTCCATAAGTCTCAGTACAAAATACAATATGCTAAGTTTTACAAAAATAGTGAAACTTAGATACAAAACAAAAAGATCTTCTAATCCATGCTAAGCCTGTAGTGGAACGTCATCCTTCACTTCATTCCCTTTTCCTGAAAAATGTTAAAATGAAGGGGTGAGCATAAGCTCAGTAGGAAGTGCCTAAGACACACCTCTTGAGCTCATACCATGCCGGGAGTAAAAATATAACTACGATACCACATCATTAATCCAATACCACAAATGAATATGCCATGCAATGAGATATCATGCCATGCAATGTCACTCCCCATTTTCCAAAACCATTTCCATTATCATTTCCAAACCGTTAGTGAACCCGTCCCATGGCAACTACATGGCAGCACGAGAAGAGGATTAGCCACTGTCCCTGACCCATGGCAACTACATGGCGGCACGAAAAGAGGATTGGCCACTGTCCCTGACCCATGGCAACTACATGGCGGCACGAGAAGAGGATTGGCCACTGTCCCTGACCCATGGCAACTCCATGGCTCATTTGGGGCCCAGGTAACTCAACCACACTAGGGCGATCTCCCTAATCCCTTCTAGACCTCACTAACGCCGCGATCCCTAGGCAACTCCTAGGCAACCGGGTTTTTCACAAAATCATTTTCAAAACCCTTCTCAAAAGCCCATTTCTTTCTTTCAAAACAACATTCTCCATTTCTTCCCAGTGAAGTGCATGTATGCTTCATATTTTCATGCCATGCCAATATTTATCAACACACATGTAATTTCAAACTCTTGCCATTTTACATGCTTTACAAGAATTTCAAAGAAATTATCACATTATTTACATTCAACAATAAGCTAGCAGGATTTAAGCATGTAAGACATGAATTCTATATCATTCAAACATGCTATTACACATATTGTCAATTAAAACACATAGTCATGTAATTCATTTAGAACAATTTAATCATTTACAAGAAGATCAACACAAAATAGCATGCTAAGTAGCAAAATCAAGAAGGAAATTCACTAAGGTGCAAGAAATTGTACATTAAGAACCCCTACCCCAAAGGAGGAAAAAAAACCCCAATTTTATGCCCTAGATTTCGAATTTCCTATAGTGCACCAACCAAGGAATTGCTCTTATCAACTTGTAGACCTCGCTGTGAGCTTCAATTTGCCGTAAATGGCATTTAAAAATACCAAGTATTGAAGAAGGAATCAAGGATTGAAGCCTTGAAGTGAAAAAAAAAAAGAAAAAAAAAAGGTAACAGACCAGTGGGGAGAGAGAGTGAGGAAACAGAGACCAAAATGTGGTCACATGACCACTAAAAAAAAATTGTGGGTCCCACAGCTAAAATAAAAAAAATCCTCTTAACACACACACACACATATATATAAAAAATAAAACCTCAAACATTACACTACGGATACCCTTTGCCGCCGTTGAAGAACTAAAAAATGTAAGTGGTTGACTTGGGTCGCTTTTTCGAATTAATTTGGATGATGATGCTCTGCTTAGTTTGGATTTGGTTTGTAAGATGAAACTCTCTAAAATTGGGTTACAATTCAGTAGGTTGGATGATCAGAAAGGAATTTTGGGCGTAATGGTGACAAAAGGGCATTAGAGTCCTTTCATATGAACAAGGGCACTATGGTCCTTTAATTTCATAATTCACATCACGTGATAACATGTGTTGTTTTTACCGGCCATTATCTATCGGAGCTTTGCCGGATGGGGTGATTTGCAACCAAACACTATAGTTTGGGGGTTTTCTGCTCATTTAGAAATTCAGGGGGGTTTAGTGCTTATTTGGGTATAATTGAAGGGGGTTTAATGCATTCTATCCTAAAAAAAAATATAGTATAACTTTTTTGTTTAAATAATTATTAATATTATGCATCTTCTAATAATGGTTACTCATAACTTAAATTCATTTCCTCGTGCTTCTGAGATTAACTTTTTATCATTCCACCAAATAGCCGTCTTTAAATATATATATATATATATATATGGGAGTTAGCTCAGTATAATATATTCTTTACTGTTTTCTCCCTGAACTTCTACTGGGGTAGGTTGCTTGTCGAATATGATTTTGGTATTGTGAGATCCAGATACACTCCCTTAGGCAAATTAGTCTTTCGTTGATATTAAAAAACGTGCCACAAATGTAATTGTCAAAATGAGATTTCAAGCAAAATATGTACGAGACTAACCTTAAATGAACGTATATAAATCAAGTTCTGAATTGTAATTGAACCCGTCTTGGGATGACTTCATCGATTAGTTAGATTCTTGGGATGACTTCATCGATTAGTTAGATTCAGAGTGTTCAATAGGAATTCATTTAGTCGATTATGTCAGGATGTTTCAAATTTCCTGCAGCACCATGACTTTCAATGGTGTGGCTCATGCCATCAGCAAAATTGCTCTGCAGTCTGAAGTCTCCATCCAAGAATGGATTGTGTTTCCCTCTGTGGGGGGCTTTGTTTGTTGATTCTTGTTTTGGTTCTTGGTTTGTGTTCCCTCTTTGTAGTGTTAATAATAATAATAATAATAAATAAATAAATAAATTGGTTCTCTGTTTAGCATAAATCATATGATTCATTAAGAGAAGAGAATGGAAGTGTGAGAAAATATATTCTATGGGGAGAGAAAGGAAAAGATTAATTGTGATTCACATTTGTATGCTTTTTCGAAGTCCATCAGAATTGATAACCTTTGTAAATGGCATGTGAGGAGCTATGCATGCCATTTGTGTGTATTGAATTTCATAGTTTTCTTCTGTAATGCATCAAAATCCCTCCAATTCTCATGCTTTTCTCTTTATTGATGCCTGAAAAACTGATCATTCTACATATTAGCAACTATAAAGGACTAGCTTGTTATATTTGATTTTTTATGATAATATTTGCTTTCTGTTTTTGTTTTCCACATACAAAGTCATTCAATATAATGGAGAATGCAACATACATATGAAGATCAAAGGTTGTGAAGCTGATGGAATTAATTTTTGACATGAATGGCAATACAAGTAAGGACTACCCTATACCCAAAAAAACAGATCATAGGTATGTGTATCAGGTATGGGGGTCTAAATTTAATCATTAATGATTCAAGAATAAAAAAATTAATCATTTATGCTAAGATAATGTTACCTAGTAAAAGATTAATGAATCTGTTACCCCTACCAATAAATCTATTTAACATTGACCAAATGCCATGGATTTGATCCTAAAACCATCACCAAATCTGACTCTGGTCTAGTCGTCTTCACACGGACATTGTCATTGATCTGGCCCAAGTGGATGTTCTTTGGACCTAGCTCCTTGATCGATCACTGGTGAAGGCCTTGGAGAAACTGCAATGTGAAGTATCTCTATGGCCTATTTTAATGTCCATGAGGTTCGTGATATATCCAGGTTGTGTTACCTTGGCATCTTCTAAGTCCATCTCATTAGTCATCATCTTGACAGCTGCAGACATGTGCGGGCGAAGGCTGGTGGTTTCTTGCACGCAGAGCAGGCCGACCTTCAATAACCGGACAGCTTCTTCCTTCAAAAAATCTGTACCTAGTACAGGATCCACTAGCTGCAAAAGCTTGCCAGTATTGTACATTGCCCATGCCTGCACATACACAAGTGCACAAGGTCTGAATTCTACACTCACTTTCTATGTATTTTTGCTAATTGTTCTTTGAGCCAAAGGCATATATATATATATATAGATATAAAAGAAACTAGTTACCTTCTTGACTAGGTGCTGCTCCCCATCTTCTAAGCTGAAATCCACAACAGGCCGGCCACTGACAATTTCCAATAGTAAAACCCCAAAGCTGTAAACATCTGATTTTCGTGTCAAGTGTCCGGTAACAGCATATTCAGGAGAAATGTAGCCTCTTTGGCATGAAAACCACCCCATTAGCAACAACACTAAATAAAAAAAATAAACAATAAAAAAAGAATGATTCTGATACAGATTTATAGGCGAAGTGTTGGTACAAGAACCAATAGTTCTACTTACAATGTCCCAGCAACACGAGTACTAATATGCGAAATGCCATCTCTAAACAGCTTTGACAGCCCAAAATCTGAAACTCTTGGTCTAAAATTATGATCAAGAAGTATATTGCTGGCCTTAATATCCCGGTGCACGATATGAGGACTAAGCTCTTCATGGAGATGGGCAATGCCGCTAGCAACTCCTAATGAGATATCCCTCCTTTTTGTCCAACTAAACTTAATTCTGTTATTCTCTCCACCTGTTGAAAATCAATAATTTTTTGGGGATTATTTTCACATAAAGCTATTGTGTGTTCCTCAAAAATTTCTATAAAATTGCAGATTAAAAACTTAAAAGAATTACCAAGGAAGGTTTGCGCGAGGCAATTGTTTTCCATGTAATCATAAACCAAGAGTCTGTGAGATCCATCAACGCAACATCCTAGAAGTACAACAAGATTTTCATGTTTGATATGGGTGAGTGCAGCTATCTCAGATATAAACTCCCTCTCACCTCGCATCGATTCAAGATCAACTGATAGCACTTTTATAGCCACCACAGTACCATCTCTAAGCTGGCCCTGTGTAATCGTTAGAAAATCATTAGATGGAGTGATCAATTCATAGGATTAAATCATTTGATTCTCTAATAAATACAAATAAAGTGACAAATCATATTAAAAAGAAAAGAAAACATATCACTTATGTATGTGTGTATATAATGACTACCTTATAGATACAGCCAAACCCTCCCTCTCCAATTTTGTTGGAAGAACTAAAACCATGGGTGGCAGCTTTCAATTCATTGTAAGAGAAAATGTGAAAATTCTCTGTAATTTGTTTGCCTGGTATAAAATTTTTGATGCAAGGTTTAAAACTTGTATATATATTATGAATTTATCAAAAAATAAAATAAATAATAATAATAATAATATTTAGAACCTACCATGCGTGATTTTATTGACATCTGCTGACAAATTGCAGCAGTTTGAGAAAGAGAGAGAAAACTTCATATGTAGAACTGTACTTTATCAGATTGAGGGAGAGAGATAATATTAATGGACGCGTTATATAGAACACCATGGCAGTGGATTTTGACTTCTGGGTAGAAAGATTGAATTTTGTTTTTCAAAACCGTAATTTTTAATTCAACTTTGAAATGGGTTGGCACGTAATCAAAAAAGAGTAATAGAAAGAGATTACTGGAAATATATGAAAGAAACTGGTAGTTGAAGGTTTGAGTTCACACCCGCTCAATTGTAAGCTTTTAATGTTACTTTATGTAAGTAATGTGAATGTCTTGGTCGAGCTCGTCAATACAACGGTTACCAGAGTGTATTTCACAATCCAAAATTTAGATGGGAAAGCGTGAAGGAGGGAGACTTAACACAAATTTACTTCCAACACCAAATTGGAATAAAAATTTCGCCCAAAATCATGCCGAACTTGATACGATAAGTTTGTATCTTGTGTTATTACTCTGTTTAAAACGTCTGGGATGCTATGTGGATTGTGGATCCTTAAGAAATCTTATTCATATGTCAACTAGGGTTGCAATTCGTGTTAGTGGGTTATAATTATGTCGTGTCGATATAAGGGTATTTTATTAAATAGGTAAACTTAAACCCGACCCATTTAATAATCGTGTCAGTAACCCTCAGCACTAACCCGGCCTGTTTATTAATAGAATAAGAAATTTAATATTTAATCAAACAATAAATATTAAAAAAAATTATCACAATTAACCCAAATATTCAAAATAAGAAGAAAAATTATAAGGCGTAGTCAAAGTTAATGTTGAAATCATGGTTTGTGGTATCAGTCCCGGTATAACATATTCAAACAAAATCGGTGTAAACTGGCCAATACAGGTCGCATATCAAATTTGAAAAAGAGTCACGTATCGGTTGATACATTGCGTATCGAATGATACGGCGAACCATGTTTGAAATGACTTAACTGTCCATAGTAATTGAATTTAAATAGATAACATAATATATAGGTCATATTCATTATTATGACATGTTGAATTAAACGGGTATGAATGGGTTACACAAGTTGAACCCTTCAACCTTAACCCGACACGATTAAGTAAATGGATTAATCGTGTCAACCCGTTTATGACCCAAACTAATTTAAGATTAACTCAAACCCACTTATCTCGTGTCGCGTTAGTGAATCGTGTTGTAATTAGCTACCGTTAATTAACACATCCAATTAATAATAATAAATAAAAATAAAAACTTGCTAGTAAATGTTATTGTTGTACTAGATGTTACATTCTCACAATACTGTAATTGTAAAATAACGAGGTTAGGGTTAAAATAAAGGGAAAATTACATATAAATGGAGTTAAAGTTTCATATTTACTTAGAGACTGAGTCAAAGTTCCATATTTCTCTAAAATGGATTGCTGAGGTGGCACATGGTTTTTTACTGTTTAGAAAATTGTGGTGCCTAAAATGCCCTTCCCTAACAAAAAAGTAGTACCTTCAGTTCAAAAAAGTAGTACCTTCAGTTCAAAAAAGTAGTACCTTCGAAGAAAAAGTAGTACCTTCGCGGGTGTTTAAAAAACATGGTACCTGGACACCAAAAAGTAGTACCTTCAGTTCAAAAAAGTAGTACCTTCGAAGAAAAAGTAGTACCTTCGCAGAAGGGTATTTTAGGCACCACAATTTCTAAACAGTAAAAAACCATGTGCCACCTCAGCAATCCATTTTAGGGAAATATGGAACTTTGACTCAGCCTCTAAGTAAATATGAAACTTTGACTCCATTTATATGTAATTTTCCCTAAAATAAATGTGGGTTAAAGTAAGACACTGTTATTACCACAACTGTTATATTGCTTCCATAATCATCCAACTAAAATTTTACTTCAAAGAGCTAGCTTTTACACTAACTTCAGAATTTGAGAATTCACCTTTCTAAAGTAAATTGAAGAATTGACGAAAACAAGGAGATGCAAGAGACATTTGGTCTCAATGAGTTTCTAGATATATTCGTTTATTTTTTTATTTTTAAAAAAAAAAATTCAAACAAACATACACAAATGACAGATCAGAATTTTTGTTGAGGGGGCGTTTTTGAAGAAAACGAATTTAAAGATAATTTAAAAAAAAAAATTATAATCATAAGAACCAAATTACTTAGAGAGAGACAGGCTACTTTAAGTATATGTTAAATTCAAAAAGTTGAACGACGACAAGAATATATAATGGAGTATTTTAAACAATTGAGTGAGGTGATTTCTTAAATTTTAACAAAATACATAGACAGTAATAAAAAACAATAAATAAAATAAATATAAATAAAAATAAAAATCAGGGGAGGCATCTGGCCCCACTAGTCCTATGCTATGTCCATGTATTATTTCTACCAGACTCGAACACTCAACCTCTTCACATACCATCTAAATTATTGTCCAATTATGTTTACATAGAAATTTAAAATAGTAATTATTGTCCAATTATGTTTACATAGAAATTTAAAATAATAAAAAGTAACATTTTTCTAATCCATCTTTTGAGTTTTGAACGAGCTAACGTTCCAAATTTTCATTTAGTTAATGAATCAAAGATTTAGTCTTACCAATTCATCAGGCCCCACTGATCCTATCCTAAGTCCGTGTATTATTTTTAACACACTCGAAGACTCAACTTCTCAACATACCAGTTAAATTATTGTCCAATTATATGAAATTTAAAATAGTAAAAAATAAAAAAATTTTAATCCGCTTTTTGAATTTTGAAAGAGCCAAAGTTCCAGATTTTCATTTAATTAAGGAATGAAAGACTTAGTCTTACCAATTCGTAGTTTGACCCATCATCAATGATCTATAGAAAGAAAAGAAAAAAATTCAATAGTCTCATGTTTTTCTAAATTTCGTGAACAAGAAACTCTATTAGACTAGGTTTAATCCACGGTATAGGGAGGCGTCTAAGAATTGAAACAGTCCAAAGTCATATTGATTGAAGCACGGGCATAATTTTATTTTATTTTATTTATTTTTTTTTTTTTTTGCACTTCATGACTGCTATTATTAATTGTTCCATTTCCGGACTCTCAACAAATTAATTGAAATTAGACCTTTTAAGTCCACATAGACGTATAAAAAACACGAGTGGTCACACCTCGTGCAATCCCTATTAATATAACATATCCACGTGAATATATATATATATATATGTCATTTTCTTTTTTATTGAAAAGGATAGATTCAATAATATCATACTACCATTTGATTGGGCCAAAAAAATTAATTGTCAACCGATGGTCTTCTTAACACTAACTACTCTAGAAGAATAAATTTTTTTTGAACAGCTAACGAATGGGACGTATAAGAGGAAAATTTAGGAAAATTTTTGTTGAAGTCACAGGGAAGAGTTTATAGACACGTGAAAAAATAGTTAAAATTCTCATTGCACATTCTAGAAGTTGGGAGTTCAAATTTCTTTAAAGAACTAATCATTAACAAGTAGGAGGAAAAATTTAATTAAAATCATATAAGAGAGTTTATGAACATTTGAAAAAAATGTGTTAAGACTCTTATCTCACATTTTAAAAATTGGAAGTTCATATTCATATAAAGTGATTTACAAGATACTTCCAAAGGCCAATTAATACTGTCCGTCGAAACAAAGAAAAATCATGAGAACATATATGTAACGACCCTAGTTAATGCCAAAATTTAAAAAAAATTCGGCATAACCTCTTCTAAAAATGGGCCTTCAACAACCTGTCCCAATACACAAAACACATAAAATCATCCAGCATCCCATTCATCCGTTTATTATACCTCAACATAGTTTCTCTCATGGTAGAACATCCACACATCAATTAATCTAAATTATCATAATTACAGTCCCAAAATACAAGATTAATATTTAAAGTCCCTGTCTTACAACGTTACATGATACAATTGCATGGAAACATAAACCATAATTCCATTAATTTCATTTACATCAAACAAAAGATAAGTTCGTTCTTAAGTTACAAAGCCATGAATACTAACTTAGTTACATTTCCACATGTACGAATATACATAGAACGGTCAAAATACAAAATAGCAAACAACCTTCTAACAACTTTCAAGCTTGAGGTGGATTGTCGTCCACCAGTTCATTTCCAAGACCTGAAAAAAATTATATAAATAGTAGGGTGAGCATAAAGCTCAACAGGTGACACTTAAGACACACATCTTGTGTCCTTGTGAATCCAAACAAAGCATAGGCCAATGAGAAATGGGGATCATACAATGTCGGGAAATAATACAGCATAACGATTCAATCTCAAGTATATCCAATGCAATGGTATGAGATGCAATGCATGCTAGTGTCGCTCCCCATTTTCATAATCCAAAACATTGTTTCCAAACTGTTAATAAAGCCCGCCCTTTGGTAGCCCCGCTGCGACACGAGAGGAGGATTGGCTAGTGTCCCTGATCCTTGGTAACCCCGCGGCGTCATTATGGGGCCCAACTAGCTCAACCACGCTAGGGCGACTCCCTAGTCCCCTCTAGGCTATATTAACCTCCAGCTCGTTGATAACCCCGCAGCGACCGGGTTTCGCATAAAACCATTTCATCAAAAACACTTTCCTGAAATTTCCCATATTTATTTCAAGAACAATTTCTCCCATTTCATGCAAACCCAATGGTATTTATATATACGTGCATGTATATATGTTCCATACATTCAATGTCATGGCATTTAAAATTCTATACCATAAAATTAAATATTCAACATGTTCAACATCTCCCAAGTAATTATTAACACATTAAGATATAACAAAATACATTTAAGTATGCTTTACACATAAAACAACTCACAATCAAATATATGAATTTCTCTAGACAACATTTAAAATAATCATTGATACAATTAACTTCTAATTAAGCATGCTTGGCACAACAAATGATTCTAACTCACAATGGAACAAGAAGGTAGTGGATTAAGGTGTCCCTACCTCAAAAGTGAGCCAAAACCCTTAAAATGGGTCTCTAAATTCGAGCT